CCAGCCCCGCCCCCTGGTGGGCTGAGCTGGCCACACACACACACACACACACACACACACACACACAAATAAAAAAATATTACTTCTGGTTAAAGAAGTTTTTTAAGCTTAAAGGAAAAGGTTGACAAATTCTTTAAAGCTTCTGTATGATAAACAACATCAAGATCAAGTTAAAAGATGACTCACAAACTGATATAAGCTGTTTATAAAATACAACTGGCAAGGAGTTTTGTCTAGAATTCATAAAGGACTACCGACCAGCAGTCAGGCTGCTAGCCATCCCTATAACCCCAGCTGCTCAGGGGGCTTAGATAGGAAGATCATTAGGCCAGCCTGGACAGTTTAGCCACGCTGTCTCAAAAGAATTTAAAAAAAAAAAAAACCCTAGGGCTGTGGCTCAGTGGTAAAGCACTTTTCTAGCATGAGCTGAGCAAAACACTGGGTTCGTTCCTTAGTATCTACACCCCCCATTAGAAGGACCACCCAAGACAAAAATACCTGACATCCGCAAGTTAAGGTGGAATATACAAGGGTCATAAGTAGGTAATTTACAGACTCAAAAGTAAACAGCCAATAAAGATGAATGATCTATGGCTTCATTTGTGCAAATTAGGATAACAATGAGATACTATTTCAGATTCATTAAGATAGGAAACGGGGCCAGGGAAATGGCTCAGTAGAATAAGCACTTGCCTGGCAAGCACAAGGGCCTGAGTTCAATCCTTAGTTCCACAAAAAAAAAAAAAAAAAAAGATAAGAAACAGCCCCTCCCAAAAGTGTGATAATTTATTTTAAAACATACTTTCAAATCTAAAATTAAAAACTATATCCGAACAACTTTATGGATATAGGAAGAATAGAATGAGAGATGAACATAAACTCCTATTTATTTAAAAAAGAAGTTAAGTAGGGTTTATGGTACTTGTATCACTATTTAGAAATTAAGATCTGTCTTACTTTTGTTATTGCTGGGACAAAAAGACCTGACACCCACAAGTTAAAAGGTAGAAAAATTTATTTTGGTTCACAGTTCATAGAGGTTTCAGTCCATAGTTGACTGGCTCCAAGACACAGTGCATGGCAGGACAGACAAGAGTGAGTGAACAGCAAGCTTCTATCCCCCCACCCCTCCGTTTTTATTCCATTCAGGCTGTAAGTCTATTGGCTGGTATGAACCACAACCAGGGTGATATCCACACCTAGAACTATGACAAACCAATCAATAGGCTAAATTAAGATATACTCTATATTTGCAAACCCTAGATCCAGCCACCTCAAAAAAAAAGCCCCACTTCTGAGTGCGTGAAGCTTTGGGGGAGGACATCTAGATACAAGCTATAACAAGACCTAGGTCACGTAGTCTAAGAGTGAATGGCAAAGCTGTCATCAAACCCAAAGTCTTAAATACTTTTCCTTAGACATGTTGCCCCCAAAATTACCTTAGGTATTTAAAAACAGACCTATGTGTATTATTCCACACTGTTATCAGTGAAAGTACAAATACAAGTAGTATATAAATTCTAAATCTCAGAAAGGATGCAGCCTGATGACACAGCTTCCTGTAAGAGGGTGAGCTTCTCAACAGCTAAACCAATGTTACTTCTTTTTCTAGTGTCTTGTAGAGTTTAATGCTTAGAATAAGCTGCCCTTGCTTACGTGGCCTTTTCTAGTAGAATCTGGACAACTTGGTAAATGATCTACCCTTCTTTGCATGATGAATAACCTAATTCTGCCCAAATGTTTGTAGGAGCTTGAAATTGTCATTGGAGATGAACACATATCTTTCACAACATCAAAAATTGGTTCTCTTATTGATGTCAATCAATCCAAGTAAGTATATGATCCTTACGTATTTGTGTCTGTTTTGCTGGAAACTGATAAATCCTTATCAAATTGGGACCATTATGTGATGATCTACTACAAATGTAAGACAGAAGTGGGTGGTTTTGTCTCCTTAATAGTAAGGTCTCCAAATTATAGTCATCTGGGAGTATCTATAGGGATTGGTTCCAGGTCCCACTGCAGAAACCAAAGCTTTGGGTGCTCAAGTCTCTCATAAAATGGGATAATGTTTTCATAGAACTTCTGTACATCCCTATGTATGCTTTAAATCCTTTCTAGATTGTATTACCTACTATTTTGTAAATGGTTGTCTTACTGTTATTATTTTGAAATAATGACAAGGAAGAAATTCTGAGCATGTCTATTAGAGACACAGCTATCATAGGTCTACTATGTACTTGATCCATGAACTCACAGATGTGGAGCACACAGATACAGCCACTGTTAATGTCTTGAAAGGTATCTTTATAGTCTTTTGTTCTGTGCATTAGAAAATACGTAGCTTTAGCTGGGGTGATAGCTCAGCAGCCTAAGTGCCTGCCTGGCAAGCACAAGGTCCTGAGTTTGATCCCTGGTACAAAAAAAGAAAATAAGTAGCTTTGAAAGGACAGCAAAATTAAGGTCAACAATCTGTTATTCTAGGGGGCCAGGGAGATAGCTCAGTTGAATAAGTACTTGCCTAACAAGTACAAGGGCCTGAGTTCAATCCCTGGTCCCACCAAAAAAACAAACAATCTGTTAGATGATAGATAGATAGATAGATAGATAGATAGATAGATAGATAGATAGATAGATATAGGATATAGATATCTATCTATCTATCTATCTATCTATCTATATATATCCAACATCTCTATGAGGTGGAGTTTTTCTTGGGGGGGAGGGAGGTTTGCGGGTTTTTTTGGCAGAACTGGGGATTGAACTCAGGCCCTTGCGCTTGCCAGGGAAGCACTTATTCTACTGAGCCATCTCCCCGGCCCAACAATCTGTTATTCTGATCATGTTTTTCACTTAATATATTTTCCCACCCCCAAAAACCTCAACATTATCCCATTGATGTTCTCCTACTATGCAGTCTCTTCTTTCTTCATGGACTTGTGGTTGTTCAAAGTTTTAATACTGTAAATATGCTCCCAAGGAAAGTTAGATAAGAAGTTGTTTTGGGGGTTTGTTTGGGGCTGGTGGCACCAGTTTTTCTCAGCTTTTTCATTTTTTTCTCTTTTGAATTTTAGGGACCCAGAAGGCTTAAGAGTATTTTATTATCTTGTCCAGGACCTGAAGTGCTTGGTCTTCAGTCTTATTGGATTACACTTCAAGATCAAACCAATTTAGATTGATTATTGATGTGGACACGGGGGGGGGGGGTAGGATTAGTTGTTTTAATTACCATTATCAGGAGATTTTTGTGTATATCAAGACAATATTTTTTGTAAACTATAATTGTCTTAATAAATGTGATAAAATCCAATTTTTGTTACTTTATAAAAGATCTGAATGTGTGAAACTCCTTAATTTGTAAAACACAAATATTTTAGTGTGAAATATTGCTGAAAAATCTAGCCAACTGTATATAATCTACCATTTTATAGGAAAAAAGGCAAATGGAGAAACAGTAAAAAAAGAGAGTGATCAGCAATATTCAGGAAATTCTTCACAGATGACTGGTGTCTTAAGTAACTGGAAGGGCAATGGAGGAGAAACCTTTAAAGGAAATTTAGAAGACACATTAGTGGCTGGAGGTATAAGGTCAGTGGTAGAGCACTCAAAACCAGCAGCCATTAAAAACAGACCAAGTTGGCACAGAATGTGTGGGAGCTTGTTCAGAAGGTAAACTGACCTATAGGGACAATTTATTTTGCCAAGTCACTGATAGGGTCTTGTGTAGTCCAGACTGGCCTTGAGCTCCCTGCAATCCTCTTGCCTCAATCTCCCAAGTACTGTGATTATAGGCCACCATACCTGGCACATATGGCTTGCAGGCCTGATAGTGCCACCTGTAATCTGAGCACTCTGGGAGGCTGAGGCAAGAGGATCACAAGTTAAAGTCCTGTCTGGGCAACTCAGAGTACACCCTGTCTCAACAAAGAGGTGTGGTGATATAGCTCAGTACAAAGGCCCTAGATTTGATTCCTAAAACTGCCAAAGCCCAAACAACTAGGCAGCTTCTTCAGGCAAATTGCTGGTGGGACTAGATAACACATACTGAAAGAAGTAGGCTATGGTAAAAGTCATCTGACTGAAAGGACAAGTGAGACAGACTCACATCCCTGGGAACCCAAGTCCCAAGGGTTTTAAATATGGGCCAGAGATTTTTTTCCACCACCACACTTTGCTGTGCCTTCCTTAAAAGATTACAGTGAGTAGGGGAGCCCTGTGACCCAATGTCCAGATACCTGACTCCAAAATCACCTCCTGTAAAGGGTAAAAAATTCCTCCAAATTGTAAAGACATCGAGGAGCTCAAAAGGATATGTAAGTCTTCAGTGAGGGGTGCTGTCTGATGCTGCCCACAGCCTGCATGGTATCTGTGAAGGCATGCTAGGCGCAGACAAGTGGGGGCAGAAGTACCCCCGGGGGGGGGGGGAATCCAGTCAAGCCACGGTGAGAAGGACGAGGACATAGGCAGTCTCCTGGAGAGATTCTGGAAACCAGGCTTCTGCGCAGATCCAGAGGAAAAAGTTTAGAGAATAAAGAGATCATCCCCACAACTGCCAAGCAGGCACGGTCTGGGCCTTTTAGTGCTGGCACAAAGTCGGGGTTCTGTAAGCTATGTGTGGCACTGCCAATTCCCGGAGGCCTGCACATCGTACTGATCACTGGTTTCAGCTTCACCTAAAAGCTGGTTTCAGCTTCACCTAAAAGAAAGGTCTAGGAGGGGCCGGGGAGATAGCTCAGTAGAATAAGCGCTTGCCTGGCAAGTGCAAGGGCCTGAGTTCAATCCCCGGTTCCACAAAAAAAAAAGGGAAGGAAGGAAGGAAGGAAGGAAGGAAGGAAGGAAGGAAGGAAGGAAGGAAGAAAAGAAAGAAAGAGAAGAAAGAAAGAAAAGAAAGGTCTACAAAATAGGTTACCTGCAGGAGAGCCCAGCTGAAGCTCCGCCCCGTCTCACCCCGCGGCTCCGCCCCTGCCGGAGCCAAAGCACGCCGGGTGCCTCCCTTTTACGACAGGTCGGAAAGTAGCGGCCGCAGCCTGTGTGCACTAAGTTCGACCATCATGGGGGTGAGGGGCGGTGGATCACTTTGAGTCGCTGGGACACCTGGGTGGTTTGGGGAAGGTGTGAGGAACTGGGAGGCAGGGGGTCGCATCAGGTGCAAATGATGGGAACGAGGACGCGCCGAGGAAGTGGGTGGCAGAGCTAGAGCTGGGGGGCCTGGGACGGGGCGTGTCGCTGCTGACAGTGTGGCCCGCCCTCCCCTCAGAAAATCGCGCTGCAGTTGAAAGCCACTCTGGAGAACATCACCAACCTCCGGCCCGTGGGCGAGGACTTCCGGTGGTACCTGAAGGTACGGAGGCGAGCGGCCCCGCGCAGGGGGGCAGTGGGCGCCTCGGGGCCTCCGGGGAGGTGTGGCCGCCCTGACCTCAGCCTCCTGCTGCCTGAGAAATATTTAATAAGACATTAAATGTTACGGTCTTTATGGCTAAAATTTTAGGTTTTCTTTTTTAATACTGGTTCATCTTTGCCTTGAAAATATGTAATTTTTTCCTTTTGTTAAATATTTTGTGGTGTGTAAATAGGCACTAGTTGAAATGCTATTTGAATGGATCTTGTGATTTGGTAAGGTAAATAATTTTACCTATTTTTTTTTTATCAGATTGTGTTTATTGTGAGATAGCTTAATTTTGAGCTTGATCTACCCTTTCTTCCTTACTCCACACTGATATGCCCAGTACCCTGGTAGCATGTTCTGAAGAGGTCCTCTCATCTGAACAGTTGAAGGTTTTTCCCTGTCACAGATCCCAGAGATTCTGCTGTGTTCTAGCTCAAATCCCAGAAACCTTCTGAACACATCAGAAACCTTGTCCTGTAGGAAGCCACCCTTGACTTTATTTCCAAAAATTTTTGAAGCTTGAGTTCCAGGGTTATTTGAGGAATCAGTGTTCTTTGATTAAAAGAAGCAAGAGTCTAGTGGTGTTGACAGAAAAATGGAGTAACAGCAGTGGGGTAAATACTTAAATCAAGGACTGACAGGGTCTGTGGGGACACAAAGGAGTCTCCTAACTAGGCCCAGTAGCTGGGGGGCCTGTTGAAGCCATTTCTGTGCCACCTAAGCCTTGAATCCTTATCCAGGCTGGGTACTTCATAGAGGAGGGCAGGTACCCCAATATGAGAAGCACTTGGGTATGTTCTTGACCTAAAGATAAGTCTGGTTATGTCCTTGTTGGGGTTGGTTGTAAATGGAATGTGTTGGCAGAAAGTGGGATATGAGCCTCCTATCTCACATTGTCCACAGCTGCTTTACTAGTATTCTTTTCTCCTCCTACACCCCAAGATGAAATGTGGTAACTGTGGTGAAATTTCAGAGAAGTGGCAATACATCCGACTGATGGTAAGTGGTGTTCTCGAGTACACTCGCACGCGTACAACACACACACTACCTCTTGGCAGGAATTTGGTAAAACAAGCTTTCATCTCTTCAGTCCTTTGGGGCTTACCTTTTATGGGAGGGCAGGCATCAGTGTGCTCAGTACTGGGAACAATGGGCATTTTGTGATACGAGGCAGAATTCAGGAAAGAACCCATCTTCAGTCTCAGTAAGCCTCCTCATGATGCCTTCTATTGGTGCTGCAGCCTGAACCCAGAGGTTAAATATTCACTTAACTACTGAGCTGTACCTCTGTTTCCAGGATTCCTGTCTTAGCAAGCCATTGACCTCTCTGGGTTTGGTCTTGTCAGTTGAGTAATAAGTGTTGGGATGGGGTCTCAGGAGCCTTGCATCAAACTGATACGTGACTAGAGGTTCTGTTTGCTCTTTGCCAGGACAGTGTGGCCCTGAAGGGAGGTCGTGGCAGTGCCTCTATGGTTCAGAAGTGCAAGCTGTGTGCACGGGAAAATTCCATTGGTAGGTCCAGCTGTGATTACTGAGTTCTGCCAGGCTGGCCCACAGCTTTGGGGAGAGCAGACTCATTACTTGTGGGTGTACTAAGGTGTGAGGTGCTAACACCTGCGCAACTGTCTTTCCCAGAGCCACATCAAGGCACTAGGGTGGGCTTTAATATGTTTGTTTTTTTTTTTTTTTTTGACGGAACCGGGAATTGAACTCAGACCCTTGCACTTGCTAGGGAAGTGCTTATTCCACTGAGCCATCTCCCCGGCCCCATGGGCTTCAATATGAATTCAAGTCAACTTTGTCTTTTTTATGTTTCAGAGATTTTGAGCAGCACCATCAAGCCTTATAATGTAAGTCTGCTGCTACAGTGGCAACTGAAAATGAAGAGGCCTGATTTCTAAAGTCATAGCTACATTAGAGGGACCTGCTGTAGGACATTCATATTTCTTGTTTATTCTTTTTGTGGTTGCTCCCGGGGGCAGGGCTGGTGCTGCATGTGGTGCCAGGAATTGAACTGAGGTCCCTGTGCTTTACCTAAGCTTGCCTAAGGCACTTTAGACTACTTAGCTATCTCGCTGACCCATCTTGTTTACTCTTTAATTGACTCAGTTGTTCATATTCTTAATCACTCATTTACTCGTCATATACTGAGTGCCCAGAAAAATTTCTTTAGCAGGTTGTTTCAGTGCCTTCCTATAAATGCTGGGCTCTGGGAGCCCATAGAACCTCTAATCCCAGCTAGCTGCTCAGTTTCCATAGCCAAGGGCATTGCCTGTCTACATCTTAGGAGAGTGGCAAGTCTTCTCTGAAACTGTGATGGGACAGTCCTTTGGTGCATTCCATCTTGGAGAGTGCCAGTGTTACTGTTAGATAATTGTGCAGTACTCCCTCACAGGTTGGCCCCAAAGTGGGAGAGGGTTTAAGCACTTTGGGGGTCTGTGTAAAGAATTACAGTTGTCTTTATCTTTATTTATTTGATATTTATTTAAAATATCAGAATTATGTCAGATCCTCACAATACTCTAAATTGAAGAAAGCAATTAAATAAGGACTTGCCCTCAAGTCTATTATAATGTAGCAGAAGACCAGCAGACAACTAAGACCCAACAGAAAAATGCTCATCAGTGCCAGACATATAGCTGAAGTGCAGGAAACACTTTTTACAGTGACAAGATGACAGTCAACATGTGGGTATGACATTTGGGGTTTCTGAGTATAGGTCAGGTAGGTATGGGTTTCCTGGCTCTCCACCTCCAAAGAGATGTCCCCTCCACCCATATTCTTTTCAAAGGCTTTAGTAAAAGTAGCTCCCTGCTCTTGTAGTATGATAGTAGTTAGCAAAAGGTTGTGGCTAAGTGTACTAAAACTATTTCTATTAGATGGAGACTTCATAGCTTAATATTCCATCAGTGATCTTTTTTTTTTGTATTTAGTACAGGGTTTCACTATGTAGATCGGACTCATAGTGTTACAGCCTCCCATGTGCTGGGATTACAGGTGCGTGCCACAACACCCAGTCTCAATCACCAGCTCAGTGTGCCCCAGAGGTGGGGCTGGCATGGCAGGCCTGGGGATCAAACCCTTGGCCTCTGCATCTGCCTTAGCAGGTGCTTTAATTACCCATCAGTGATTTTATTTACTTTTTATTGGGCATAGCGTTAGGTCCTGTGCTGGGCTATTTACACATATTTCACATTCTCACAATTAACCTGTAAACGTTTCCTCAGCTCCATTTGACATTTTAGGACTCTTAATGCCCCAAAGAAAAGAGGTAGAGCTTGTCCTCATAATCGGATAGGCTGACCCCAGAATCAACCATCTTTTTCTGCAGCATCCATGTCCTCTGAGGGTTGTTGTCACCATGTGTGACAGTGTGTGCATAGAAGATGACCGGGAGGCTAGGTTTAGTTCAGTCAATGAGAACTGAGAGACTGCTTTTTGGGCATCAGAGATCTTCAGGGAAAGAGCAGCAAGCTGAAACGTCTCCAGTTAATTATTTGAAACAAGGACATGAGAACAAAGATGTAGAAGAAAAGCATTTGCAACATATTGTATAGGAGTTTTGGTCAGGGGCCAGGGCCAGAATAAGGTGTTTTGTTACATTACACATGTCGACCTAGTTTAGGTACTCTAACAGTGAAGAGGGGACATGATGGCCAAAGTAGACATCTCTGAAAACTGCTTTCAGTTCTGCTGTTTTCTTGTGGATTTGGCTGCAAACCCTAACCTAATTTCAGGATCTTGAAATGTCCAGAAAGTCCCATCTTTTTTCACTTCACGTCAAACACTTCTTTGGCCAGAGTCTTCCCCACCAAGGGTCTCATGGAGAGCATTGCCAAAGCAGGCTTCTTTCAGAATGGAGTTATTTCTTGGTCCCATTCTAGACTCAGAGGGGTAGTAAGACACACGTGGCAGGAAGGACATGGGTCAACCTGAGAGCATAGTTGGGCCTACCTCTGCAACACACTTCCTTTCTAGGCTGAAGACAATGAGAAGTTCAAGACAATTGTGGAATTTGAGTGCCGAGGCCTCGAGCCAATTGATTTCCAGCCCCAGGTATGTGTGTCTGTTTGGGGAACCTCTATTTTTTTTTTTTTTTTTTTTATGAGCAGACTATATTTATTGAGAGAAAGCTCCTGTCCCTCTCTCAGGACAGGAGGGGGGGCCCGAGCGGGTAGTTCCCCCCGAACCTGTGTCTTTGAGGGACTGTATGAAGTGAATGAAGAACACTGCTTCCTACAGAACCAATAGACTAGGAATTTTCCTTTGTCAGAACATCAGAACATAATTGTCACTTAAAGTGCCTTCTGTATGCCTGGCACTCTGCCTATTCTACATCATAGTAGCCCTGTGAGGTGATTCATCAGTTTTCAGATAAACAAAGAACTTCAGAGAGTTTGCAGCTGTCCAGGGTCACACACTTAGTAAGCAGTGGAAGTCTGTCTGACTCTAGAATCAGGGCTCACCCTCTCTTTGTTTTTTTGTTTTGTTTT